CAGAAACCGCACGAAAATTGCAGTCCTTGGCAAGGTAACGTAATTTTTGTAGAGACGCGTCGACTAATTGGCCCGGTTCTTGTTTGGTAGTAGCCAGCACGTGGCGGGAAAACACTTCATTTTTGGGTTTAATGTACATCTTTTCGAGCGTCTGGATGGCGTCTTCGTATGTAGTACATTCACAAACATGTTGATAGACGGACGGAGAAAGAAAATTTACCAAGTTTTCTTTTGTCAACGTTTGGGAGTTCGATGCATGAGAGGAAGTTCGTAAACGTTTCGTGCCAATCGATCCATTGTTCTGAAGCAGAAGAGGATTGGGGGTCGGCGTCAAACCGATCTGGGCGAAACAATCGTTCCATTGTATTTTGATAGAAGATTAAATTGTTGCGCACTCGAATGATTGTGCCAGAAACAGAGAACGAGGATTGCCGAATGATTAGCTTTAATCTTCTATCAATTTCAGTACATTAGGAAGCACAATTAGCTCAACGAATAGCGAGTAAAAAGTTAGACACAGCGTCAGTACATAACAATGATCTCGCCTTGCTTGACGACTAAATATTTGCAACCAAATTGCAGAACCCTTCGAACTTATGCATTTAGCAGCTTTCCGTTAATATTCCGTGCTTGATGTTCCCTCAGACAGGCAAATAAACGAGCCTGAGTAAATACTACACTGTATTCGCATCCTTTGCTGCTTCCACCGATAAAAGAAAGTAATATTCACGACCTACTCTAAGTTGCTCACTAGTTTGATTTTAACAGCGGACTCTAGAATCCGGTTGAACCTTTCGTTTACAAGCAATGTTTTTCCCTTAAAATTGTGTTGTTTTACGGCTATGAGTGTTTTCGGTGGGACTCCTGTAAAACTTTTAATGCGCGAGAGTAAACAAGAGGCACTAAATTCGCCGTCCAAGTTGGCTGATGCAAGCAGCTGTTGATCAGTCTTTTAGGCTTCTTTGCCAATTAAAGGAAGTACTGTTGCATTCGATAAGTGAAATTTGCAATGGTATTCCGAGTAGACATCAACGCTTTTTAGAATATTAAACCAGAAGTCACCTGTTGCTGATGTTGTCACCTCAGCTAATATCGGAGATCTAACCTAGCGCTATTAGTTTTGCTAATTCGGTTTTATTATTTCAGTGCCACGTTCGACCACGTAGTTGAACACGCGGTTTTGACCACCAAAGAATAGGCTGGAAAGAAACCTGTGCGTGTTGCCCAAACGAGCTACTTATGTCGTTTTTTAAAGTAGGAGAGTTCTGAGATTGGTCGGCATATTTTCGCCGTGATTGTTTGCAGCGAAGTGTTAGAGTGTAGGATATAAGTGGTGACTGAGACTGGTCATCTCTGACGTGTTATCGAGGTCACAAACAGCCGCTTGGTACATGCATACATGTTTCTAAGGAAGCATACGTACACCTCTTCGGAGTCGGTCGTAATCAAGTTGGCACTGTGTCTTCAGATTAGATGTTTCATTTTACCTTGTCCCTCATACATTCTTTATCCATCAAGGTAGACAGTGAGGGACGCATCATCGATGCGAAATTCAAAACATTTGGTTGTGGATCGGCCATTGCGTCCAGCTCGTTGGCTACGGAATGGGTGAAGGGAAAGACAGTGAACGAAGCAAGCTCGATCAGAAACAGTGATATCGCCAAGGAACTCAAGTTACCTCCAGTTAAACTTCATTGTTCCAGTAAGTTCCGCTTTCAGATGGCCATCATGCGCTTGACACCAGTGTACACACCGGGCCTATCGCCGGATTTTCATATCATTCGTAACTTAACTGGCCGCACTCATGGCACCCGTGGAACAAGCTAGATGGTGCAACGAAACCCTCTGAAATACTTGCGGATGCGAGTGGTCGTAAACGATCACTAGAGATTTGCACGGGTTTTGTAACCTCCCCTTGTTGGTGAACAAAAATGTGTTCATACGACATCTATGTTTTTTAGATTTTCATTGCATTAACAGTTTAGTCGGTTCGCCCTAGCTGCTGCTGTCAGACCGAGCCATACTAAAATATCGAAAAGACAGAAAGCAGCACTAGGGACTTGCGGTCTTGTAAAGTGCCTGCCTTGAGCATTTTTGACTGATCTAATGTGTACATTTGACTGAAGTATTCCAACGTCTCGTGCAGATGACTTCATTTTTCACCGGACACAAGTCTTGATCATTTTGATCACACTTGTTTAAAAAAAACGTAACCCTTTTCCGGCACAGTGCATTGACTACGCTTCACCGTCGGTGACAAATTACTGAACGTTGTTGACAACGTTGTAAAGGAGGCCAACTATCTATTAATCGATATCGTTGGCAGGTGCCATGACAGTTGATCGGGTGTGGCCGTTCCCAGCACTTCTTAGGATACTCCGAAAAGACCTACTATCTACGTGGCTTCCTGTTGTCAGTCGTTTTTTTTGGCTTGACGGCTTCAACCAAAGCGAATTATGGATGTGGGTATCTGGCACTGTAACTCTGTTGACACTCAACCGATAATATGACCGTAGATGTTGACTTAACCCAGATTTCGACTACTAGCCGATGACGTACGATGCAACCTTTAACGCAGCCTCTTGCCTGGCTCATGGATGTCTTTAAGACAATGTACTTGGGCAGCTGGAGATCACTGGGGAGCTGAACTGATTATTGGCCGCCAATAACAGCAAGCTCCGTACGTCACCAGTGTGCTTTACGAGTTTCGTCAAACCAATCCTTCTGGAATACCCCATCCCAACACCAACCACCTTTCCCGTACGGGCATCTGAGAGGTAGTCGCATATAAGCGAGATGAATCAGTGATCAAGGCGCGGATTTACTGACTAGGTCCGTGGTTCGAACCCGACGTCTGCCTCTCAACTTCCCCTGTCTAGGCTTGGGCAACGTGGCAGCATCCCAGCTTTCGTATTTCCTTCGGGTAGCATGGCAACTAGGCACCGAGGGGTGCTCCAGCTATAGGATTCGATTTCAAGCAGCAGAAGACAGTCTCCTCTTCCAGACAAGATGCATCCCTCAGTAGACTACCTATACTCGCTTCCTTGAAGTCTGTTTCGGTAAGGCTTCCGACTGAAATAAACTATGACCGATCCTTTTTTATACTTTTTACAGAGAGGGACGATTATACATTCATTTACGGTCACTTAACACTGCTATCTCCACCCTTTCATTTCTCCAGTGCTTGCGGAGGATGCGATAAAAGCAGCTCTAAGTGATTACAAGAAAAAGCAGGACAGTAATTGAGCCGCCATCAGCCCACCACCGATTGCTCAGGTGTTTCCCACTCGCCAGCCGGCCATCTAGTTTGTAATAACCCCTTGTCATCTCATTTTATCTATTCACTTGTCTATTCCATGCATTCAATTTTTGCCCGCGATGAGCGAACACTCATACCTCTTACATCCATCGGCATTTACTCATTTAAAACTAAGGAACCTGCTGCGATTGGCTAGATTCTGTGTTTTCGACCTCTTGCATTCATGTACTTCTTTCGCTATCGTTTCTTAGCCTCTGTGCACTTATTGTTGCTGTTTTCGGTTTTCTATCACGTTCGCGACTTGTTTCTGTGATTGTCTCACGAGTTCCTTGACCTGCTATAATGTGATTGTGTGCGATTTCGAAATACTGTGAAATATACTCAGCAACAGATTACAGAAGTGATGAGTTTCACGCTACATTTCTATTGCGGTGTGCGGTTTTTCTCAACATGCATGTGTGGCAGTTTAACACTGGTGTTCAAGACATTCCAGTGATACCGCTGATTGTCGTCTAATTCCTTCTTCCTCCGGCCTCCTCTCCATTGTTTTCCGTGGGCGCGAGCTCCCAACTGTCATCGCATTCCATTCCTGGCGCAGTAGCACTTTTTTGGACCCTTGCTTTCAATGCCCAAGTGGTAAGAGCGTGAATTTGCTGACCGGAAGGTCCGTGGTTCGAATCTGACCTCCGCCTCTCGACTTCCCCTGCCTAGGCTTCGGCAACCTGGCAGTATCCCAGCCCTCGTGCAACCTTCGGGTGGCATGGTAGCTAGGCACCGAAAGGGCGCTACAGCTGAATGATTTTTTTATGCATGAAAATGCCTGTCATTCTCGGAACCGTCTCAGTCGAAGGGAGTTTCGAAAGTTCGTTGCAACACGTTGACACTCCATAGATTTCTGTCAATAATAGGCAGAGGTGAGACCAGCGGACAAGGTAGTGTCAGCCGGACTGCTGTTGATTCACTCACATGACCTGGGTTGTTGATGGGCCTATCCAAGTCATCATCATCATTGTCAGCTGTAAGAACCGCATACTGGTCGTACACTGGTTGTAGCTGCCACAGTTTCGTTCACCGATGATTTGGGGGAGGAGGTAGGTAGCTGCGCATTGCACGCGCGAGCTGGTAAATTGGTGCATAAATCTAGCACTGTCAGTGGGTTGTCAAGCGGCGGGGGGGGGGTGGAAAAGGAGCTATGCATTGAAGGCAATAGCTTTGATGCATGAGCGCCATTGAGGGCGCGACTGGGCCATGTCTGATAATGTCCCTAGCCATTGATGTGGCCCGTCTCGGGGTCCCCATCCAGGAAGACGGCAGTGACCAGCGCAGCTGAGTTTTCTGGTAATGGCTTTCATACTTCGCTGCCAAGTCATTGTTTGACCGCCTCTGGCTCTCTTCCACCCTTCACATGGTTGGGCGAAAAGAGCCCTTCGAGGAAGTCGGTCGACTGGCATACGCAGGCACGTGGTCAGCCAGTGCAACCTGTGCAGTGTGATCAGTTCATCTATCGAGGTCACGTTTGAAGTACGATCGTCGTTGCTTGGTCTGGATCGCATATTTATCGACCGTGCATGTGGCGTTAGTGGTACGGTTATATTTTAGAGCGCTGCGAGGTGAAAATTAGGGACAGTGACTCTGCAGGCGACTGACTAGATGCAGAATCATTGTCCTTTTAGATACGCGCTTTACATGAGCCGAGCGTTAAGAATAGCATTAACTTTCTCCTGATAGCAATGAGTCGATATTATTCAGAAACATCCAACCTTTCACTCACTAGCTTTAGTATCTCGGCTAAACCCTTCGGCGCGGTATAAGACTTTACATGTACGTGTTTTTTCGGAAATCAGGCACTAACGTAAGCACTGATATCCTGTTAACCTGGAGTTTCGCTTTCAATAAACCAAACTGTCGGCAGCGCTCTCCTGGCTCATGTGGTAGCCAGACCAAACAACCATCGTCGCTACCCGAGCAACAGCCTGGTCTGAATCATTGAAGCGGTCTTGGTGGATCAATGGTGGTCACGTGGTTGTCTCATTGAGAATATTCTGTCTGCCATACTTTTTTGACAGTCTGGCATTCTCACACTTGGTTTCTGTAGCTTCGGTAAGTCGGCAGCTGATTGGCCTACCTGTTGGCGACCGTCTATCCAGATGTCAAATTAGGTAACAGTCTTGATATGATAGTTCAGCATCGGAGTAAAGCAGCCCGGGATTGAGAAATTGGCTGGAATTAGGAAACTGAACTTCCACTTTGCCGAATGATAGAAGAACTGGCAGGTATACGGATTGCTGGGTCGGGGTGAGATGAGCAAGTGCTCGGTGAAAGGTCCCCGATGGGCTGAGGCGAACATCTTCCACTGATTGGCTGGCTTTGTAAACCACCGGGGTGAACAACAACGAGTCAGCAGACAGACGAAAAATTAGTGTTGTTCCGTTAACTTTTCCATCCCTGCAGGCGGAACCTGAACATTTGTCATACAGGACGGAGGAGACTTGGTCGACAGGTGAAATTGAGTGATTCATCCAACGCTGTGGTATTTGTCTAGCCACTGTACTCAGGAAAGTGCACAAACTGGGGGCCAATAAACCCACCTATTGAGCATGGGGTTTGCGAAACAGTGACTTATCTACGTTGTGTTGCACGAAATTACGAAATGATACGGTGCATTATTTATGATCACTGTTTTGCTGATGGGATAAAAGGAGTCAAGAATCAATTGACGAAGATGACGATATGTAGCAGCGTTGGTTAGTGTGAAAAGTTGAACATTGGCTTGACTGATAAAAGTATGGGAAGAAAGTTCTCTTTGCTCTAACGGGGAAAGTGTCTGAAGATACTGAAAAGTGTGGAGGTAAATGAATCGTCTTGTCGGATTGAAACTGGCAAGGTGTGGATATCTCACCCGTGGTTAGAAACAAAAGGAGACAGGTGACTACGACATTGTCGTGCTACCACAGGATCGTTTACTCACACTCAAGAGATCGCACTCGTTTTTCGAGGGTAACCATCATTTTCGAAACAGACGAGAGCTTTTTTGGAGAATTCTTCAACTGTAAGCTGAGAATCGTACAGTTGTTTGAATGGCTAAGATCAGTTTCAAGCGGTTGTGTTCCTGAACAATGCGTCTGATTGCCGTGAGCACGATTAAGGTAAATGACAAAGACAAGAAATAGCATGGCATATCTTTGGTACATTATCGCTTCCCAACTTAGAGCTGCCACCTTGTCCTGGTCGTTGGGCTTCTGTGCTGCAATGATCCTGCGGGATATACTGGCTGAAACACAGTTTATTAAGATTCAAAAATGTCAGGAAGGTTAATGGGGAGCAGCCAGACAAAGAACAGCGTCCCCGTTCTGTGAGTAATCGCATTACGAGTCGGTCTGGAGGTAAAGTCATACTGTCCGCTGCGATGAGAGTGTGAAGACAGAAAGACATTTCCACTAGGCGACCAGCATGTCCGTATCTATGGAAGCAGCGGTGCTTCTTTCTTCCGAGGAGGCCCTTAAAACAGCACACTGTGATCACCCAACGGTTGGCCGTGAACTTTGGTGCATTATTCAATACAGTCGAAATATTTTTAGAACCAAAGCATCTGGTGCTGTTCAAAAGGCACCCGTTGCGCACAGTTGTACTGGCAGTGAGACAGTAATGCCCTACTCCCTCCTTTCTCGGGCACACTTAGGTGGTAGATTCGGGGTCGATGCTTAGCGAACGTATAAGGGAGTTACTCTTTCAGTTGTGTGCAGATCAGCGTCTGTTCCTGACCAGTACGAACTTCCAACACAACCGCTCACATCGAGTTACCTTGAGGCCACCAACCGCAAGACGTTCATGAACTCACTTGGACCGTTTGACTATCAGTTACCGAGAGAGAAGGTCAATTAAAGAGTGACGTTCCTTCTAGGGTACACAATTTGTGCAAACCAGGTTATCACTTCTCTTTCCGTCATCATTACGCGTGCGGAGCATTGGTCGGTTCTGGTGGAAACATCGGGTTAGTAATGCTAAGATACGCCAGATGGTCTTAGGAGGAAGGAACTCTTCCGCGGTAGATGGATTACCCATGCTTCGTGGGTACGCTGGTTAAGACATGTACTCCGCATGCCAGAAGACCGTCTGCTTCGGAGAGTTGTTTTCACCCAACCTTGTGCTCAGCGGAAGCGACCGAGAGGTGAACGGTGTATGACAACCAAGTATAAAAACACCAACCAGTCGATAAATGCCGCCTTACTGGGTGTGGACCCCCAGACTCAACACACCAGGGGTTAATGACACTGGCAGAAATGGCCCAATCACGTAATCAGCGTCTGTCGTGCATCAAAGCTACCGCCTTCAATGAGTGGCAACTCAATTCCAGAGCTAAGTAAACGTGCCATCGCCTCAAAGGTTTGGCTGTATGTGCTACTCTGAATGAGCCTGTGAATCTGTTGTAAACACGAAGGAATAATACAAGAGGAAAACTCACACAGCCCATTACAATCCATTTATAGGAATAAACACCACAACATTAGCAAAGCACTGCAACGAAAAAACACCTTTTTCCTGTTAAGTATCATAAAGTTGTATCCGCCTGGGGTTGCTCGCAAATATGATTTTGATCGTCTTTGATATACGGTACAGGGAAGTGGAGGGTATAGTTTCTTCCCATAAAATAAGAGCAGACGGAGCAGGTAGGTGCACTCCCCGAGTTCCGTCAACCTTATGTCCTACTTGAACCCAAATTGCACGAAATTAGCGAACTACACTTATTTGCATACCAATTTGAGTTTGACGGGATACCCACCTGGAACCCAACTGAATCTCCCGTTTATGATATTCTTGGCGAAACCGGTCGTGGGCTGTCGAAGAGTTTTCATCAAAATTATAAGTAGTGTGTTACATCTAAACAACAAGATACTCTGTGTCCACAACTGTGCAAAACTACGATGTAAACACGAGCAAGAGTGCCATCTGGTCGTGATGTAGAAAAGTTGAATGGACATCAGCTGACGCAGGTGAACCAATCATCTAGTGCCTAATGTACATGAACCAATCAATTCACTAAACATTCATAGAGCCGAGGAGACGTGCGCGTGATCTTGTGGGGCAGCGTATGCCTTATTGTGGTGCAGCCTTCAGATGCAGTTCAGAAATGAAACGAGACCATTCCGTGATATTAAAGTATTTCACTTAGTAGTGGTTGGTTGCATGACTTTTAGAAGTAACGCTCACATCAATGTCGTTTGAATAGTCGTCCTTCTGTCCCAGCGCAGTCACTCCGATGAGGGTGGAAGCACTAGACTGAAGTTTCGTTCTTATTAGAGCTCATGAACAGTAGTGCATATCCTTGACCGTGTCGGGCTTTAACTCCGCACATCTGACATGCGAGACTATTGTTTCCCATAAAACACCGTATTATGCTGGAGACATCTGGATTTCGAAGTCTGAACGGGTGAACATGTTGGCGCTTAAGTGATGTGACTGGTAAGCCTAAATCCTCGAACGACGACCCAGTAACATATCGATCGACTTTCCAGTCAGACTATGCCACGTAGACCGAGAGGTGAACGGTGTATGACAACCAAGTATAAAAACACCAACCAGTCGATAAATGCCGCCTTACTGGGTGTGGACCCCCAGACTCAACACACCAGGGGTTAATGACACTGGCAGAAATGGCCCAATCACGTAATCAGCGTCTGTCGTGCATCAAAGCTACCGCCTTCAATGAGTGGCAACTCAATTCCAGAGCTAAGTAAACGTGCCATCGCCTCAAAGGTTTGGCTGTATGTGCTACTCTGAATGAGCCTGTGAATCTGTTGT